GCCTGGGTGGCTCAGTCGGTTGAGCGGCCGACTTCGGCTCAGGTCATGATCTCGCAGTCCGTGAGTTCGAGCCCCGCGTCGGGCTCTGTGCTGACAGCTCAGAGCCTGGAGCCTGTTTCAGATTCTGTGTCTCCCTCTCGCTGACCCTCCCCTGTTCATGCTGTCTCTGTCTCAAAAATAAAATAAAAACGTTAAAAAAAATTAAAAAAAGAGTACACAGAACAATAAGAGGAAGACAGTGAATTTTATGTTTTGGATAAGCTGAATTTGAGATACCCCTAGTGCTTTTGCTAGTGGGCAAAAGGATATAGGGTTCAAGTTCAAAAGAGAAGAGTGGCTACAGATACGACTTTGGAACTAAGATGTCAAGAGGCAGTAGCTGAAGGGGCAGGAGTAGGAGACATGGCCTGAAGACAACATAGTAGGTGATAAGAGAGCACAGAGTGGAGCTATGTGGATACGATAAGAAAAAGGGAAGGGAGAAGAGGTCAAGAAGGACCTTGAGAGGTCAGAGAGCACCTCCCAGTCATACGGACTCTTATGGATTATTGGCACACAAATTAGCATATCTGAGAAATAAAGATAACCCCTGAATATCACACTGTAACAATTCAGAAATGCAAATGAGGGCAGCTTAATAACTTAGATGTTACTAAATAAAAAGATAAGAATATATGGAGAATTTCTAACTTTAATTAACTTCACTTCAAAGTATTCCAGGACCAATTAAATATTTCTGCTTTGCAGGGCACCTGGGCGACTCAGTAGGTTAAGCATCCAACCCTTGATTTTGGCTCAGGTCATGGTCTCACATTTGTGAGATAGAGCCCCACTATCTATTTGTGAGATAGAGCTCTGCGCTATCAGCAGATAGCTAGGGATTCTGTCTCTCCCTCTGTCTATCTCCCTCCCCCGCTTGCACTCTCTCTCAAAATAAATAAAAATAAACTTTAAAAAACAAACAAAAGGAAAGATCAATAAACACATAGGCATTGCTATCTAACAGGTGGAGTCAGTCCCAAAAGCCGATTTGTAACTCAGCTATTTCTATGTTCTGAGTATAGATGGGGAGGCCCTGTTTAACCCACAGGGGAATAGATTTACTTATAACCCCTCAACCTAAAATTCTAGAAAATGGTATTACAACAACCTAAAATAAACAAAAGGAATGCAGGGCTCAGAAGGCAGCCGTTACTGGCCAAGACACCCACTGCAGTGACTTGAAGCCATGGCCACTGGACTCTGACAAGGGATTAAGGACCTGAAACCAGCAGCTTCATCAGGACACCGAGCAGCATCACTGCCCAGGCACAACCTGCCAAGCACCAACAATGGGTCACCAGAAGAGAACCAGCATCACTGATTTGGGAGTGATGTATTAAATAACCACTATCCACTGTGTGCAAAACCGCTGGCTAGATGCTGTAACAGGTAGGCCCTGCCCTCAAAGAGCTTATAGTCTAACACAAGAGGCAAACTTCATCAGCGTTCTGAGGAAGGAGATGCCATGCATCAGGGGGCCAGCAGGTGGGTCTGGGAGGATTCAGATAGGTAGGAAAATGGGGAAACTCTTGGTGGTCAGAACTCCATGAGGAAAAGTGGAGAGAGACACAAAGGAGGGCTGTCTGGGAGCACCCAGAAAGCAGTGTAGATGCAGTGGGAGGTACCGTAAGAAAGGTTTAAGGAACTCTTAGTTTCCCAGCTGTTTCTTAGATGGCTAACGTCTACATGTTTATTGATCTTTGCTTTTGGCTTTTCTTCTTACCAGGAAAAGCTTAAATATTAAATTGGGCTTGGAACACTTTTTTTTTTTTTTTAGGGCTGTAAGGCCCAACGGTAGGGAAAACATAGTCATAAAATAACAGTAGAGTCCTTGAAGAAAGCAGGCAGGTACCAAAGGAATTCTTGGCAGTCAAATTTCCCACAGGCTGGTGCAGGGCTTCATCACTGATCCATAGTCAGTAGGATAAACAAGATTTTTTTCTGGCCTCATCAGAGTCCGAGACAGTTAGGGCAAATTACTTCAAGTTCTTCCCTCTGCAGGGTAAAAACTTCTTGTACTTCTCCTCATGGGGCTGTGGTAACAATGATTAAAGCTAAAGTGGGTGGGGTTTTAAGCTCTGTGACTCAGTGAAACATAGTGACCAGCAGGGAGAAGACACTTAGCTACCTTCAACCCCACCGGCCCTCCAGGCAAATAGAGGGGCTTTGCCCAAAGTAACAAAGGTAAGAAGTAGGTAGGCGGAGATAAGAGCAATTCCTACATTACTTGCACTCACCTCTCTCTGGCCCCAGAAGATGAGGCGGTTTACATGATTCATATAAAGAAGTAGGAAAACGTAAATAACAAACAACCAGGACCAGAAGAAAACTTAAATCAGAACAGAAGATTAACATCGGAAATATATTAGAACTCTGATCTACAGATAGATTCTTCTCTCAGCTTCTGAAAGAAAGCCATGGATTTGGCTCAGAACTTCTTACATCCAGATCAGAAGAGAAGACACATTCAATCACCTGATTCCTATTAAGAAAACCCTGCCAGTTACTCAAAGACGACAAAGGCTCTCTGATATCTAGTTATAAAAGAAATGTCTGGCCAGTTACAAGAACAAATCAAAACATCAAGATTCATACAAGGGCTGTTTTTAGAGTAAGTAGCATCTGATTGTGGCACTGAAGTTTTGCTGAAAATTTATTTCCAACAGAAAAGCCCAAGAATTCAGATTCTTGAGGTCTGGCTTAAAAAAAAAAATCTAGAATCCCAACAGAAAGCCTTTAAACAATCCCGTGTAGCTACACTCTGAAATAAACAACGAAAACAATCTTGTGTGATTATAATGTCTTATCACAGATGTTCAGAAAGAATTGGACCCTATGAAAGGGTCAAAGTACAGGTATTCTGTGTTATATACATGGTGATAGCTTATTAATTTTACGCATATGGTTGACATGCTTCTGAAAATGCCAAGGTACCCCGACATAATAAGCTGCTTTCTTCCATGCAGAGGTGGCTCTAGGAGACCAGAAAACAAAACGTCCAGGTAAGAATCAGGATATAATTCCTCAAAGGAAAAAAATCCTGTGATTCTCTTCCAGACCCCTCCCCTGCCCTCTGGCCCCACTATCCCTGCCTAATTCAGGAGCATGGCATCTCCTCTCCCAGCTTCTCCCCTCTGCCTCGCTCCACTCAATACACTAAAGGCCAGCAATGAGCTTTCTCCTGTCATTCTTCAGCTGTAACCATGTGTCAGATGCCCCCCAGTCCCTTCCACAGGAAATCCAACTTCCTCAGCAGACTGAACAAGGCCTGCATAATCTGCCTACCCTCATCTCTTGCCTCTCCTCCCTCCACCATCCCAGACATTCATTTTCCAGCCCGAATGAACTACCTGCATTTCCCCCCAAAACCATACCATGTTCTCTCTTGCTTCCACGTCTTGGAAGCTGGGAAACTCCCACTGTTGCACAAGATGAAGGTGCCATGTTCTCTAGGGAAGAGCTTTAGACCCTTCCGTAAGTGTTTCTTCAAGACCTCGTGTGCTCACCCATTGTGGCTTATTCTAGGCATTTGTTTATATCCCAAGTGTTACACGGGGCTTGGGTTCAAAGTCAGTAAGGCTGAACAGAAGCTGTGTGTCTGCTCAGAGGTGGAGGGGATGGAAACGAAGATAGAAATGATGGTGTCTAAGCAATTCTCACAGTGGTTGTGAGAGTGAGGAACTTGTCCTGGGTGTCCTGCCCCTGAACAGACTACTCAGTGGATATGCCCTTCCCCACTCTCCCTCAGAACCCTGGGAAGATGTCACAGTCTGAAAAGAAGAGTCAGTTTCACAACAGAGGCCTAAACGTTGACCGAAGGTGCATGCTCTCATTGCCTGCTAGAAGGGGAAGTCAGGGACACCTACTCAGTGTGGACTTGCTTGTGAAAGCTGCACCGTGGGGGTGCCGTGGGCGGGGCTGGCCCTCATTTGCAATGCCTGGATTGCCTTCCCTATCCTGTTCTTTCCCTTCCTCTTTCATCCTCTGCCAGGGTTGGTATAATTCCTGTTTTGAACTCTAAGTGATACGTCCTGGACCATTTTTCCTGTTCTTTATTTTTCTATAATAGTCTGGACACTACACCCCCCACAGCTTTGATGACAACAGAGCAAGTTTCTCCGCCTACACAAGCCCTGGGCAGAGCCACCGTACCGCTTACCTGTACCCAGTGCTGTTCCGGCCAACCACCAGATGCTTGGGCTGCTCCTCACACTTATAAATGTTCAAGTCGTTCTCGGGGACCAGGTCCACATCGTGGAAAATAAAGCAGTCCCAGTTTTCATCCTTGAGAGCTTCTAGATAGCCCACATTCAAGAGTTTGGCTCGATTAAACTTTTTACTTCCAGCCTATAGATACAGAAATTAAAACTTGAAAAGCTCCAGAGATAAGGTTTCACACCATGCCTCTCTTCAGTTCGGAGGCAAGAGCTGGAATTATTCTTTCCAAAGCACAAGAATATACTTGTGACATGAAGATCTAACAGAGTAGATGTGATCATAAAAGACCACTTGCTTGTGTGTTTGTTTTTTTTTTTCATATACATTTACATTCTAAAAGCTATAAACATGCCTTGAAATGGACAGTTGCTGTTTAATGCGTATAGAGTTTCAGTTTTGCAAGGTGAATAATTTCTAGAGAGTGCTTACACAATACTGTAAATATACTTCACACTACTGAACTGTATGCTTAAAAACAGTTAAGATGCACTTTTAGTGACTGTGAACCTGGGGAGATTCTGGCAGGGCTCAGGGTGTCAGATTTCACTGTTCTCCCAGCCCATCAACCTTGCCTTGAAGCTCCTCAATAAAATGGTTTGATCCAAAAAAAAAAAAAAAAAAGTTAAGATACTAAATTTCATGTATATTTCACCACAATTTTTTAAAAGGTCATACTTTTAAAATACAAATAAAAATAACTCAAAAAAATTTTTTAAAAACATACATTTATTCCACATAAAACTATAAACCTTCTTACATGGTAGTCATGCCAATTACCATCATTGCTTTACTGTTTAACTTCTAGCTAATCCAATCTTACCCTATGTAACAAATTTGCACTAAGCTTCTGAGAGACACAGCTTGCCAGAAAAAAAAAACAAAAAAACAAGAAATCTGGACCTATAAACAGAAGTTATTGGGGTGAGGGGTGGCTCAGTCAGTTAAGCGTCCAACTTCAGCTGAGGTCATGATCTCACAGTCCGTGAGTTCGAGCCCCGCATCAGGCTCTGTGCTGACAGCTCCGAGCCTGGCCCCTGCTTCAGATTCTTTGTCTCCTTCTCTCTGCCCCTCCCCTGCTTACCCTCTGTCTCTCTCACTCTCAAAAATAAACAAACATTAACATTTAATGGCAGAAGGTAATCCTCATAGTGACCTCATGGAAAGGGATTCATCACTGGGTAAGAAGAGAACACAATTCAAACAATAATATGAACAAAGCTATGTCATATGAAAAAGATTTTACGGAATTAATTTTTTATGGCTATTTGCATCAAATTCCTTATGAATAAATTCCAGTTTAATAAACAGTTTATCATAACAGAAGTACAGGCAATTCTCAAGTTACCACAGTATTTTCCTGAAAAGAATAACAAAGCACACATATTTTTTCTAGTCACAAAATACTGTACATTGGGGGTTGCTGTCCTGAGTAAGGATGGAGAATGACTAACAATGTTAAAAAGAAAAATAAGTATAAACCAATAGTAAAATTTTGTTTCAAATCCTAAAAAATGGCCCCTGGTTATTAGAAAGTATACACTGGAGAACTGCATCTTCTGATTTGTCGAAAGTTGTCCTAAAACAAATACTGCTGGTTATAAAATGCAGTTAATGATTTTGAATATGAAGCATGCAGTTAATGATTTTGCATTCTTGTCATCTGTAAGGATTTGAGGGGAAATTATTTGGATGGTCTGGGACAATTTGGGGGAGATAGACACGGATATTTAAGTGGATATCTTATTTTTTTTTTCAATAAACATTAATACCAAATACAGGCATCTTTCATAAGCCACTCTACTTAGAGCTAAATTCTTCAAAACCAGCCTACACTTATCACTTACTGTATACCTACTAAATTGTCCTCTGGAAGCCTAATACATGAGTCGAGAAAGTGAAAATGAAACATAAAATGTTTTATATAATAAAAGTTATAGTCAGAAAGGAGGAAACAGTCCTAGAACTCCATGGCTATTAACACAGTAATCTGTAGGATCCCCTGCCTAGATCCCCACTGAATAGCTATGCTCAATAATGAAAAATTCCAGCATCTCATCGTGCAGTGTATAGCAGCTGCAGGAGGAAATATAAGGTAAATCTCAGGAGAAAATCTTTGGGCAGTCATTGGCTAACACAGAAGGGCTCACACAGACAAAAATAAAACAAACCAGACTTCCTCCAGAGGTTCGCATCAGAGGCAGTAAAATTCCCAGCACTTAGTCTGATTATTCCACACTCTGAGACAAGAATTTCCTTTACTCCTTTCATGGATAAATGAGGTAGGAGACCTTTTCTTTGGTGACAGTTTGGTGCTCCTTTTACCTAAGATACCCAGAGGGCCAAGTCCCTCGGTCTCTCCTCACAGAGAGGAGGACTGGGAGGGCAGAGCCTGGGTGTGCCCCCCACACTCACCTGGTGGATGACGTAGATGCCATAGTCCAGCTGCTGCCTCTGCAAGAAGGGATGGAGGTGTTCGAGCAGGTACAGCAGGTGTTTCTCTCGGTTCCGGTGTGGAATGAGGATGGCGACCCGCTGGGAAGCCTTACATTCCTCGGGGTGATACCGGCCTCTGTGCACTTTGGGATTTTTTGCCTCCACTTCTTCCAGAGTGAGATCTGGTTTGAAAACGAGCTTGTTTTGGCCCCCTACAATAAAAACAGGACCCAGGAAAGAACAGTAGCTGTCTCATCAAGGGCTGATAGGATTATATGAGCACTGACCTAAAGCCCTTAGAACATTGCCCAGCACACAGTGAGGACCATGAGTGTCAGCTTTTATTATTATTACTTTAAAGCCTCTTTTGGTCATGAACTATAACCAGAGTCATGTGACCCAGGGTATTTTCTGCAAAAGCAAGTAAATGACATATGAGAGCATTCTCTGGTGGTGGGGTAACCAACTCTGGGTCTGTGATTCATCCGTACGGAGGAGGTGCATTCTGTCCCACTGACCATGGTCAAGAGTCAAGATCAGGGCTAGACTGAATAACTTCAAATTTGCTCGATCCCCTTTTCCTTCTCAAAATTAAAACTCAAGAGCATTCCATGGAATCCAGCTCATGGTCAAGGCCATTTTCCCATTCTTTCCATGAGCTCCTGGGAGCTATCCTAGCTCCCCGAAGGTAAAAACCATGAAAGGAAATAGCAACTAGCCTCCTGCCTAACCCAGCAGTAACATGTATGTGCAACATCACAATTCTCCCATTGTGCATGGTAGCAGACATCCCAGTGGAGCATTTGCTCAGCGAGTCTGGACACAGCCTAACTAGATGAAACCCAGCGCCACCCATGGGAACCGACCTCATGCAAGGCTTTACAGATCAGGCTGAAGACACTGGCCCTCCTCCTCAATCTGAATTAACAGGGAATACTGACTGGTAAGACAAGAGGCAGAGCTTTGGATAGAGAACTCTGCCACGCTTTTTTTTAATTCCATATATACTGGCCGGGCCATAACATCTCAAGATGCTTGCATGTTGTGCCGTCCTCTCCTGAACAAAGCAGTCACAGTCCCCTCCAATGTGTAAGTCACCACGCCTTGCTCCATGTGACCACTGCTGTCCTGGCCACGGCTGCTTAGACCAGGCTCCAGTGTCCGTGAAGTGGCTGAAAGACTCGGCCCAATGGCACCAAGGGCAAATAACTGCTTCCAGCCACCTACAGACAATAACCAGCCTCTAGGAAAGAGCCTTTCCTGAAGGTGTGACACATGGAGTTGGCAGGCAGAAACGCCCTAAAAACAAACAGTAAGAAAGGGAGTGACGTGAAAGGCAAGCTACCAGAGCTGCTGCCAGGCCGTAGAGCAGCTGGAAGATGATGGTGTGGCTGTTGAGATGGTTTCCCATGTAGCCTGTTATCAAGCCCCACCATGTGAGTTAACCCACGCCTCTATTCTTGGCCCCTGAAAGAGCCCCATGCGACAAGTCTGATATAAGCTAGTCCCCTTGCTCACTTTCTCATTGTCTTAACTTTTCGGTGCCTACCCTTCTAGAGCCTGCTTCCATTCACTATTAGTCTCCCTACCACTCCCTTGGCATCTTCTCCAATTTTGTTTCTTCTTGGGTCACTAATGGCCCATGTTACTTCATCACTACTTTTGTCACCTTCTTAATCCAGGTACTTCCTCAGTATTATGTCATGGCCCATGTATTTTTATGAAAACTTTAATTGCTTAAATATGTTGTGAGGATTTTGAACAAGGGAGACAGTACAGTCAGATGTGTAGTTCAATGCCTCATTTTCCTATCTCAACTTGTGTAACTTGTGAGCAGAACAATTTCCCTCAGGTAATCAGGAGTGATATTTTGGCTGTTCCATGACTGAGTAAAGAGAAGCAGTATGCCAGTAGAAACACAGCACAAGGCTGTGATTCAGTGAGGAAAGAGAGTCTGCAGGTTTCGTTCATCTAAGAGCAAGAAGCCACCCCACAGGAGGCTACTTCAGTGTATGTACTTTTCTGAGACAGAAGGAATCTCAACTGGATTTTTGATGAACAAACAGGAATCCACCAGGCAGACAGAGATTGAGGAAAGGCATTCTGGAAAGAGGAAACAGTATAAGGCTCAGAGGAGTATCTGGAGAACTACAAGTGCTTTGATGTTCTGGAGAATCAGAGGTCTCATAGAATCTTTGTGGATTATATCTAATATCGCTGTGGAGCTTTTCCTCTCTAATCAATGTGTTCCACAGAACCAATTTACCATTAATTTATTTATTATTATTATTATTTTTTTAATGTTTATTTACTTTTGAGAGAGAGAGAGAGAGGCAGAGTGCAAGCAGGGCAGAAAGAGAGGAAGACATAGAATCCCAACTAGGCTCCAGGCTCTGAGCTGTCAGCACAGAGCCCAATGCCAGGCCTGAATCCACGAAACACGAGTTCATGACCTGAACTGAAGTTGGACGCTTAACCGACTGAGCCACCCAGGCACCCAAACCAATTTACTGTTAATTTAAACTGAAAGGCAAGACATCAAAGGGGAATCAGAACATACAATATATTTAAGAAATAAACACTAAAGATGACATTGAAAAACCTACTCAGTCCTGTCCCTTGACTGCATAATTCTGACCATGGGAATGCTAATAGATGTGACATGAGTGGATTTCTCCACCTGTGCCCTTATGTCCTGTGGATGCCAGGAGAAGGACATCCTCAAGCGAGCTCATTGGTCTCAGGTGGAAAAGGTAAGACATAAGGAGCAGAGCCACCAGCCTAAATCAATGCACCCCCCAGTTCATCTGGCAGACTTGTGAACGAAATACATGCCTGTGGATGTGAGACTTCTGTGGCTTGATAATAAAATTGGGTATGCTCGTATAATGGAAAATGATACATCAGCAATATAGACACATCTCACAAACATACTGTTGAACAACAAAAGCCAGACACAAAAGATTACACATCTTGTTTCTAATTATGTAAAGCTTAAAAACAGGAAAAATCTAATGGATGGTGTTAGAATCTTGAAGTAAGGGTCATGACTGAAAGAAGCATGAGAACTCCCAGGGTTCCAGAAGGATTCTAGTTCTTAATTTAACATACTGATGACACAGGTATATTCATTTTGTGAAACTTAACCAAGTTGTACACTTCTGATTTTTATGCTTTTCTGCATCTATAAATGTGATATTTAACTAAGAAGTTTACATAGCACTTGAAAAAAAGAAAAAAAAAAACTTACTGAGGTATGGAGACACAGAAGGGCAGTTGTTGAGGTCTGCTTCTTTCATGGATGCTTCCTGAGTCAGAGTTTTTCCCTTCCCCCAGACTAGGACCTTGTTGAAATTGGCCATGAAATCCTTTGCTTTAGGAATCTCTTGAATAGCACCCACAAAGTAGTTACTGGTGGCCCACCCAAGCACTGTCAGGCATAAGAGAAAAAGCAACAGTAACCGGAACTTGTAGGAAAGGTGGAAAGTCATGAAGAAGCCCATGTCTGTTATTACGTGAGGATTATGTCTCTTTCCACTTCACTGCAGGGGAAGCTTCGAGTTCAACTCTTGTAATCTGATGGCAAACTTGGTGACAACTGAAGATGCAATGCCTGCTTTTGTTCAGTAATTCCGCTCCAACAATCTCTGGAAGGCAATCACAAAGACATGTTGTTTCACATGGAAATCCTATCCTGAATGATTCACGTCAGTGCAAACTGAAAACCTATTCCCAGTGGATCTTGACTAACAGGAATGGGAATTCTCCAATGAGGGGTTTGAGATCAGAAAATCGGATTTCAGAGGTCGAAGGTTCCAACCAACTATACATCCCAGGAGTTACCACCCAGGCTGTCTGTCACCCAAGAGGAAAAGGCATTTCCAGATGTCGCACAGGAGGAGAGGGCAAAGGGGAAGCTGTGAAAGCCTCCTCAGTACTGAGTCGGGCACGACCCAAAATACAGCTCCCCAATTTTTTCTTTAGTGGCCCCTTCCTAGCACAGCTTTAAAAGACAGTTAGCAACATGTAAAAATCTTGTATTTTGACTCAAAGAGAAAATAAGGAGAAAGACAAAAGCTCTTCTCTGTGACAGCTAGAAAAACACGTTCCTCAACAACAGGCATTAAAGTCCAGGATGTTGCAGCTATAAATGTTACATTCACAACGAGGCACTGGCACAGGGCACATCCCAACAGGTAAGGGTGAGGGCAAGAAACATAAGAGAAGGCCAAGACAGGAGCTCAGTAATCTGTAAGACTAACAGGTGGAACTACAGTGCAGTGTTTAAGATCGGTGGTTTGGATTTAGGCAGAAACTACAGCTCCACCACATATCAGCCATGACACCTCAAGTCAGTCACTTGACTAACTTCAGTCTCCTTACCTGTAAAATCGGGATAAAAACAGTACCTCCCTGGAGAGGTTACTGTATGACTGAACAGCCTAATGTATTAATACATAAAGTGTAGCCCATGCCTGACGCACAGCGAGCGCCAACTACGTGCTGACCACCACTGTTGTTATTGTCCTATTACATAAGGTGACTCTAAGGATGGCCAACAGGTGGACACACTGGTGGCTGCCCCAAGCACCACTCTATCATACTGTATTTCTCACTGCCAGCTGATGAACTGCCATTCTTCACGAGCATGTGGTGGAACAGTGTGAACTCACTTCTGAAAGGTCACTATCCTCTCCATTCTTGACAAAAATCCAGTTTCTGAAGCCACAAAGCTGATGGCCCACTCTGGACCATGTGAACACATTAAGGTGATGAAGGCTACTTGGCAAGTCCCCCAAGGACACAGCCAGCAATCCCCCCCTCCCACATGTTCTCTGCATTGCCAAAACCACATCTGCCCTCATATTCTAAGTGTGCTATCAGAAGGGGATAGAAAATGCTAAAGCCACGGCAGCGATAATCTCCACAGCCAAAAATGCCCTCAGTTAAATGGATAGTTAAATGGAGACCAAAATATTTTCTGTGCCAAGTAATAACATGAAAACAAGTATGATCAAATCTTAAATAAAAGAAAAACAGAAATAAACTGTACATGTGTATGATTACCACTCAAACTACAGAAATAAAACTCCAGAGAGAAATATTAGCCAAAAGCTAACGAGAACTGCATGAAGAATAGGGATTAGCCAAGGGTACTTTTTTCTATTTTTGGAATTTTGTATGATATACTTCTGCCCTTTTATAGTGAAAATTTAGTTGTTGAATTTTGTCCGTTTTTTAAAATTAGACATAGGGATCCCTAGGTGGTAATTCAATGTGAAAAATAAAAACAAAACAATCTTAGCACCTCTTGAGATAGTCCCCTAGTTACTAAAGGGTAGAATTCCAAAAATTTAGCTCTAGGTTAGTTTGAAGGCAACCCAGAAAGCATTTCTCTCTAGATTCAACGTTATAAATGAAGATTAGATTCTTGAGTCAAGCCACAAATGAGATTTGACTCAGGAAGCAACTAAACACTATGGCCTGTGTTTAGGGTCTTGTGAAGGCATCATAAGAAATGATGCCGAAGGCAGTAATAACTGCTAATAAGAGTGATTGATTTGTGCATCTACTCTATGGCACGCGCTGAAGTGAAATCATTTGTATTAACTTACTTTGCCTCTCAACTTTGCAAGGTAAGAATCACTAGTCTCATTTTATAGAGGAGAAAAATGAAGGGAGATTAAGGAACGTGCCCTCGACCACACAATTAGTAAGTGGTGGAGCTGGGGTCTGAACCCACAAGGCCAGGCCCAAAGCCTACCTCTGACACACCCTTCACATAGGCATTTCGATCTCTTTCCTCATCTAGGTACCTGAGTGCACCCAACACAAACCCTTAGAATACGCAGGATTCCCTTTGGCAGCCCCTCTCTCTGTCAGCCTCCTGTCCCTTTCCTTGGGACTGTGTTGGCATGGCTTTCTGTATCTGTTAAGTCTACAGGTTCCTGGGGCCAATCAGACAACATTTTGGGGACTCAACTATAGGAGGCTTAACTGCTAGAATTGGCAATAGTGGTTTTTTAAAGTTTTGGTTTTTTTTTTTTTTAAATTCCAGTGAACATACTGTGTAATATTAGTTTCAGGTATACAATACAGCGATTCAACACTTCCATCTCAATCTTGGAAAATTTAGACTGAGAACACTGCTCTTCTAAAAGCTGCTTATGGAGGGATAGCCCCCTGACAAGCCAAGAGATTTCTGATCACAGAGGTACTATAGTGTTAGAAGCAGAAACGAGCAGAAAGCACACAAGTCTAGCACCCCCTCCTTTTACAGAGGGAGGAAGAGTGGTTTAGAGAGATTTAAAACCTACCCAAGCAGTGGCAAGCTGGGAATAATCGCAGACTAACATAGCTAAACTGCAGCCTACAGAATTTGTCCAAAGATAAGAAATTTATTACAAAAGCAAGGAACCATTCTTTTTTTTTTTTTAATCTTTTTTTCAACGTTTATTTATTTTTGGGACAGAGAGAGACAGAACATGAATGGGCTAGGGGCAGAGAGAGAGGGAGACACAGAATCGGAAACAGGCTCCAGGCTCTGAGCCATCAGCCCAGAGCCCGACGCGGGGCTCGAACTCACGGACCGCGAGATCGTGACCTGGCTGAAGTCGGACACTCAACCGACTGTGCCACCCAGGCGCCCCGCAAGGAACCATTCTTAATGATTACTTCATAATTAGCCCTTCACTGCTAACTCCATTTCTTAAGACATCGATCTAGTTAAAAATAATCACTTCCCCTTTTTCCCAAGCCTTAGTGCTATCCTCAAACCAACTGTACAGGGAGCCAGCACGAAGGAAGCTCAAGTGTGAGGTCTCCTTGGTACCTGGGAGTAAACATCTGAAGTGTGAAGGGTCTCTAACACTGGTCCAAAGATCTTTCAAGAGAGATCTCCTGCCCACCCTGCTTATCAGCTGAGTGACTGAGGGCAACCCTTCTCAACAACTTTATCAAGCTATTAAACATAAAGATATATATCTACTTACCTTAAAATGTTGCTATAAGAATTTAATGAGATGTTGCACCCAAACACACCTGGTACATTCCCAGGAACGTAATAGTTATCAATCAAATCTATTTACCAATGTGATTTATGCTCAAATTTTATCAGGGTGCCAAGCAACATAATGTTAAATTTGGAATTACATTATGAAGTCCAGACAATTTTCCATTTCTCTGTAATTTATTTTTCTTTTAATCTTTTTTAATGTTTATTTATTATTGAGAGACAGAGAGTGAGCATGGGAGGAGCAGAGAGAAGGAGAGACACAGAATCTGAAGCAGGCTCCAGGCTCTGAGCTGTCAGCACAGAGCCTGACTTGGGGCTCGAACTCACAAACCGCGAGATCATGACCTGAGCTAAAGTCAGACGCTCAACTGACTGAGCCACCCAGGCACCCCTATTTTTCTTTTAATGGGTAATATATTACCTTTATGATTTAAACAAATCATGATTTTTAAAAGCAAGTTCTTTCTAGGGCAGGTAACTCTGGGTTAATGTTTAGGGAACTGTCATTAGACTGGACTTATTTATAATAACATTAAGTAATTGACAGACCTTGAACCTACCCTTGAAAAGTTTCCTTTTTCAATCAAAAAACAGACAGGAAAATCATGACTGTAGACAATAAATTCAGGTAACGTGAAAGAAGTTATTTTAGAGCAAGACTCTAGAAGTCTGTCTTATAGTTCAAAATGATGAGGCTTTCAAAACTGGTTTTTCCTCCCTCTCAATTCAACCAGTCTTTTCTGAGCATCGGCTATTTTCAGGCATAGTGCTAGGCACTAAGGGGAGAAAAGGGAATTAAGGTATAGTCCTTGCACTTAGAGTTTATTTCAATCCTTTCTTAAATTTCAATGAGTCTTTTGTTTTATTTGTTTTATTTTTTTTTCAACGTTTTTATTTTATTTTTGGGACAGAGAGAGACAGAGCATGAACGGGGGAGGGGCAGAGAGAGAGGGAGACACAGAATCGGAAACAGGCTCCAGGCTCTGAGCCATCAGCCCAGAGCCCGACGCGGGGCTCGAACTCACGGACCGCGAGATCGTGACCTGGCTGAAGTCGGACGCTTAACCGACTGCGCCACCCAGGCGCCCCAGAGTCTTTTGTTTTAAAATATGCCAGCCCCACCCCTGAAAATGGAGGAATAGATGAAATAAGATTGGCAAAATATTGAGATGTATTGAATTAGCTGATAGGTACCCAAGGGTTCATTTTGCTTTCCTCTCTACTTTTGTGTATGCTTGAACTTTTCCATAATAATGAAAGAAAAAATCTGGCAAGGAAGATAAGCTATAACTAAAGATAAATCAGCATTTATGCTAGGTATCATTTTTGGAGAATCTCTACACATACAAATCTCTGTACCACAGGGGATGGAGGGAGAATACTAGGTGCAGTCCACAAATATTTACTAAACATTTATGCACCAGAAGAAAGGGTGTGGTCTTCATTTAGCAGCCAAGAGTGCCAAGTCAGAGTTCTAAACCCAGCTGT